CCCCAAAACCCCAAAACCCCAAAACCCCACCTCATAGAATATTGCTGATAATCGATAAATATTATAAGTATAGAAAATTTAAATATGATATTTCTAATAAATTTAAATTGAGATCATCTTTAAAGTTTATTTCTAGGATTATTTCCTGTGTTATCAGATTCCTAACTCTCGCGATTTGATATTACAAAATTCTACAGATTTTGCTAGTAATTTTTAAAGAATTTTTGATTGGTTTCACTTATTCCCAAAGTCTGCTAGAAATGAGAATTAAATACTTTCTTCTGCTCGCCTATAATAATTTTCCTTTTTCTATTAAGCTTTACTTCGATCGAATCGTCATAATTTATTGATTCTCTTTTTTATAATGAACTTTTATCAGCATTCTAAATTTGTCTAGGGAAGAGTATACCAAGATTTTGCTTCCTTATTTTAATGCTTTTTTAATCTATATTGACTTAAATATTATCAGTATTTTAATAATCCAGGTTGTCTAAGTCAGTTTAAATTTCTTATATTTACTATTGATTATTATTCTGTCTATATATTTCAATATTATGATTATTTTTTACTTTCTTAAGTAGTTTTCTTTTACTTTCCTAATGATGCCTTTACAAAAACTCCGTCAAAGATGGTATTATAAAATCCTTAGATCGATTAAAATGACTATTCAATGTTTCAAGTTTATAATGATTTTGAGAACGCATTCTTTTAATTCTTATGAGCTTTTAAATTTCATAGAAAATTACGCATATATAAGCAAAAACATTTCCTGCTACGATAAAAACGACTATCCCACAGTAAATCCAGGCAGCTTCAACTTTTATATCTGTTAGAGTTAAAAATGGCGTGAATACAAAGCAAATATATTGCTAGAATAAATATAAAGTCTCATTAAATAAATCAATAAAATCCAAATATCTATACTCATTAGGTTTTTCTACAATTAAAAAGCTGATAATGACCATTGATGATGTTAGTTGTAGGAAAATTTAAGTTGCAAAAGCATGATTAGTTATAGAAAATCCTATTAATAATCTCCTTGTGAAAAACAAGAAAAGATAAATATTCAATTATATTCTGTTCTGACAAAGGCAAGTTATTCTTTTTATAAATTAATTGAGCTTTCTTAAAATATAATATCTGCTCATCTATTCTTATAACTTTCCATTATGCATCTAACAAAGAACAATGTATCCAATAAATGAAGGTGCTAATATCAATACAATTAGGGCAAAAGTAGAAAAGGCTGCATCAAATTTATCTTACGTGGTCTAAGGATCTACTTGATACTTTAAAATATAGAAAACCATAATTGAGGCAATCATATAACCCTCAACAAATAGCCTAGTAAACCATGTATAGTATAATCCTTTTGTAATTTTGAAATAAATCCAATAAAATTTAGTGCGCTTGAAATTATCAGTGGATTATCTTGTTAATCTAGTGATGAGCCTTAGAATAAAAATGACTGATTTGTCAATAACAATTAAAATTATACCAAAAGCACATATTATTAGTATAAATTGCAATTGAGCAATTAGCTAAACACTATTATATCCCATAAGTTTGAATTTATTAAGTAAAATATCGCTATTAGAACTTTTTTCTTCGAGTAGCCTAAAGGCCACGTTAGTTTAGTCCTTAGAGTTTGAGACTTCTGGTAGCATATTAAAGGTGATAAAATCTTGCAAATACTGATTGAAATAATATACGTTTGAGGGCATGTCTAAATCAAATAGAGCTAGATTAGAAACTTGCTGAATATTATTTACTAGTGACCACACAGTTCCAGATGCAGATAACCTAATTTGAGGTTATTGAAAGTTTATATATTACAAAAGCTAGGATGAAACTATACAGGTATAAATTAAAGCTTTCACTAAATGAGATACAATTTCTCCTCTTTATTGGACTACTTAGGCATCATCTAAAAATCATTATTAAAATATTAGGATAAGTAGCTATTTCCTAAATGGTCTTACCTTTTCCAATTTATTTGGGCAACTGCTAAATGAGCTTAGAAACCCCTCCAAATAAGGACATATCTATCAGTTGATTGTTTTGATCTTTGTAGAACAGATTAACTTAAAGGTAATCAGCATTCTATAAAAATTAATAGTTTCCAAAAGATGAATACCTCTTGAATAGAAATGTTATAAGGATTGTCAAAATTAATCTAAATAGTTATCTCTCCATTTCCATCCTTCACAGCAGTCCAGTTTTGTATAAATTTAGAGTCTTGCTGAGACAAAATCGGCTGGATTTCTATTTCATTGAATGTACCAGTTGAACTATTAAAAGTGACCTATTGATTAAGCTGAATGACTGCTTCTCCTTTTTGATTTAAACTTAAAATGGTTGCTTTAAACTGACTTGCTAACACTTGAACTTCTTTTGAGGGAATGTAAGTTGGAACACCAGGGGTAGTATAGTGAATTGGTGAGGTACTATTGCTTACAGTGCTATTTGTAGAAGTGCTGCTATTATTCAATGCATTATTTGCTGACTTGACCACAGTTAACTTTATCTTATAAATACTAATAGCTGTAGGATTTCCAGTATCTGTTAAAGTCAATGTCAATAAGTAATTTCCTGTGTCTAAAGATGTTGGACTAGCATAAATTTTTGAATCTCTTAGAGTGATGAAGTTCTAATTCCTATCTAAGCTTAATGTTATTGTAACTGTATTTTTCTCTTTATCAAATACCATTGGAAGAGTATAGATTAACTCTTGTCCAGCAACTGCTAGAAGATTTTATGGTTTCAGTATGAATATTGGAGGTGAATTAGTTATTTGAGCATTTTGTTAGTTTTTTATAGTTGTTTAAGTGGGTGAATTAGTAGTAGATTCTGTAGTTACTTCAGGAACTGGAGTGGTTGTTGTAGTTTAATCATAAGTTGTTTCAGGAGCCAAAGTAGTAGAATAAATTGTATCTTAATCTTAAATTGAGGTTTCAATTTCTGTTGTAATTGCGGATGCAGTTGTAGTTGGTTCCTATGTAGTAGTAGTAGTAGTTGTTGTAGTAGTGGTAGTTGTTTATGTTATAATATTTATTAGAATATCAACTTCATCATTGTATTACTAAGATATAGCAAGTTCTGAAATATCAAAAATACCATTAAAAATAGCTTTAAAATTTATTGCATATTGGCCAACATCATCATTGTTGCTTGAATTTATAGTAATCTTCATTGTTGAAGGATTAAATGAAATATGTGAGGGAAGAGAAACAAGGCCAGACGTGCTTTGATAGTAGGCTTGAGCAGATATTGAGTATCCACAGAAGTTTGAATACTGTAGAGTCATATCTAGTTCCTTTGGGCCTTCTCCAACCGCATACTAATAATCACTTTATCCTTAAAAATTCGCGACTATTGGGTAATCGCAAGTTATTTTTACAGTGAATGCTATTTCTGTGAATTTTGAAGAGTCATAGTGGTTATAATATTTGACTATTATATCATAATTACCTTTGTGAGATGGGTTTGAAGAAGATATTACTAAGCTAGTACTATTGTATGATATTGCATCAACTTAAGGCTAAACTATAATTGTAGTTGAGGGAGGAACAATGCATAGATTCTTTAACACGTAAGCATCTAACTCCAAGACAACAGATGGCTATCCAATACTATATGTAGTGTCAACTAATAAATCATTAGTCAAGTAATCATTGTAGCAATCAATAAGTTTAATTTGATATCCCACACTAGCAGTTTAGCCATTTGGATAAGTACATTATAATGTATAATTACTTGTTATTTCTTGGTTCAATTTCTATTTAAATGAGAAGGTATCAGGATTAATAAATACCAAATTTAAATTTCCAGTATCTAGTGAAGTTAAAGTATAAGTCCTAGTTTGATCATTGCATATTTCATCACCTGAAAAATATATTGACAAGTTTTAAGCAAATGCTTCAGATTACATGCCAAGAGTAGAGACAATATTGGTATAATTATTATAAGTCCATAGCTTAGGTATTGGGTCGCAAAATTTTGTATAGTTGGTATTATAAAGAGATATATTCTAGGCTAATAAACTAAAAGTAGTTGATCTCCTAAGTATAAAATTAGTTGTGATTTGTATATTAAAACCAAGATCAGCATAGGAATAACCGTTGATTGCTGTCAAAGTTTCTGAAGTAATGATTGGCTACATATTATAAGAAGAACACGACTGAGATATGTCAGATGACATAATATAAGAGAAGTATTAAGAACTTGAGAGATTAGTATAGAGAGTAGCTCCATTATAATAAACAGAATAGTCGGGTAAGATAACGCCATCATAGATCCTATAAGTAGAGAGATAGGTAAATTCCTACCTTGTCATTGATGCTTCAGTGGCTGTTATATCATGAATTCTAATCAAATGGTTTTTATATACGCCAAAATCTAATGCCAATAGATAGAAAGATGTTGTTGATTATACTCTTAGATCCAAACATTTAAGATCTTCAAGAATTTCAACAAAAAATTAGGATGCTATTGTGTAGTCAGCATTAACAACAAGGCGATAAAATATAGCTTTGAGCTCATTCGGAGTTACTCCTCTGTAAGCAATGGGTTAGCAACCAAAAAAGCTTTCTTATGTGCCAGATCTTAATAACGCCACTGTCCTTTAATTCGAGATAGCAACTGATTGAGGTCGAGTAATGTTCATGGTGTAAGCATATTGAAGAGCTCCGGTGCTAGTAAGCATTTTGGAAATTGTTGAATAATGCTCTTATCGACTAGGATTAGAATAAGATGTATAATATCTGATGAAAGAATAAACATATGTGTTAGTTGGTTCTAAGAAAATAACACCAACTTAACCGAACTCACCTTATATCAAAGCCCCTCTATGCTGAAATTTCCATAAAGCTTCATTCGGTGTAGTTGTTGAAGTTAGATCAAATTTTGATATTACTTATGTACGAATACCCGATATTTATGCCCCAAAATAAAGATTGTTTGATGCGTCTAGAACTACTGAGTTTAAATAAGTACTTGTCCAATAAGCTCCACCAGGATTAGTATCATCATAAAAGGCATTAATCAAGGATCCATCAGTTGTAGATATTAAAATAACTTGCATTTTCAGAGATGAAGGATTTTAGATAATAGCAGAAGCTGTTAATGCTTAAGTTACACCAAATTAAAAAACTAGATTTATCACTGCTGTGAAACCAACTTGATTATATATTCTAACCCAATCTTATTAACCATTGTAACTAACATACTAAATGTGTGAGTAATATCCAGATGCTATAGATAAACCATGAGTTGTAACTCTTGTTTCACCGCCAGAAATAATGTTAAGATTTCCGTCAACATCCATTGTATTAGCAAAGGTGCTTCCAGTAGAATCCCCAAAGCCTCAGGGAAATTTCCAATCAAAGCATTTTTATTGACCTTCAATTAATTAAGAATGACAAAGTAAAGCGATAAAAAAAGCTATAGATCTCATTTATACTTAAATTTTTATTTTTAATATTATTATTCATCAAATTCATATTAAATAAATTTTCTGTACAATTTAAATGGCTCCTTATGGGGTTTTGGGGTTTTGGGG